ATGATGTGCCCCTCCGCAGTCAGTGCATCTTGAGTGCCCCTTGCAGAACTTCTCTACGTGACCGACTTGAGCGCAGTTTTTGCAGAATGGAATGAAGGTGTTGTCAAAGAAGCGACAGCGGGTACACTTGATATTGAGATGTGACCGCCCCATCAATGCTTCGCTGGCTCGCCCGGTGATGTCGAAGCACTTGGTCATTCCCCCCTTCCCTTCCATGTCTTGGTGAAAACAAAATCATCTGGAGTGCATCGCAGGTCGTTTTGGGTCATCAAACACACCTTGATTTCCTCGTCTTATAAGTCTTCACTAATTGCGACTACTTTTATTTGTGGTAGCCGTTTTCTTCTCTGCGTCACCTCAATAGCCTTTCTCGTGGCTTCATTGCTTTCCAGTTCCTTCTGGAGCGAGGCAGTTGCCTGTTTTGAGGTGAACGAAATCACCACCCCACCCCGAACTGGTCGCATTTCAACATCTTTCAGTTCGAGGAAGCAAGGGTCAATGTTATGTGCTACCAGTTTTGATAGCTCGTCCGTTCCGTGTATGGTCGATCTCACCACTATGGCCTCTCTTTGTTTGGGTGAGCCCTATTTCCCACTAAGCTCCCCCTGAGCGGAGCTGCGTACCACATCTGCCATACTTTTGGCAGGACCCTGCCCCATCCCCATTGCTTCTCGGACTGCTAGTAACTCTCCCTGAAGGCTTGCAACCTCGTGTGTAGCCTCCAAAATTAGAGATTTCATTTTTGAGATCTCATCAATTATGCGCTCGAGCTGTGCTGCTACTATCTCGTTTTCAGCCGTCTCAGCTGCCAAAAGTTTCCTGTTCGCTTTCATCAATTTTGCTAGGGGCATTGCCTTGCCTATTCCTCTGTCTCGCGGAGTTCCAGTATCAGATTAAATCAATGTCGGAAACTCCTGCTCATGTGATTTCTCCTCTTGCTCAGCTGCGTGGGATAGGGCGGCCGGGGCCTTTCTAGTGCTGTTGTTATCTTCCTCTGCACTGGAATCTTCGTTTGCCTGGGAGTCCTGCGAGGCAATGTGTTTGCCTGCTTTTCGTGCCCGGCGTTCCTGCCTCAGTGACCCTTCGTAGCAGAGTGTATCCCAGGATTCACCCGACTTGTCCTCGGATGACTCCGTTTTCGTTTGTGACTCCGTTTCCGTTTGTACAGCAGGGCGCTTTGGTGCTGCCACCCGGTCACCCTTCAGGAAGTTCTGGAGTTTGTCCTGTTCCCTTGCCGCTCTGCACCTTCATAGTCTTTCTATCTCTTGAATTCTTCCCCGTTCTGTGCTGGCGGGTTTACAAGCGAGCGGTGGGTGGAAAGAGCAGCGGAGCACAACTCGATAAGACACGGGCCACTATGTGCACGAAATTTATTGTGTTTTCTTTCATCGGGAGCACACTTCAAGTTTCCCTTGAATTAGGTCGTGTCCTATTACCCATTCCTGCAGCCGTCGAAGCAGCTGACGATGACGCAGCACTGCCAGTCATTCCTTTCACGGGAAAGTGCAAACACGGCGACAACAACCGCACGCACAGACAAAGTATATATATTTTTTAATGGTGGTGCCTGGCTCCACTCGCGAGGCACGGTATGGAGGGCATCGATTTGGAGAGTAGCTGAATGCCGGCGAGCATGTATGCATGTAAACAAAAACGTTGTGAATAAGTACTGCAACAAAATAATGTTTAATACTGCAAAAACGTAATATTGTACTCACTGTGGCAATTTGGTGCTCGAAATTTTTTCGTACCTGCAGATACTGGGGCCGAGAGTACCTCGTTCTACTGCAAAGGGAGATCATCGAACGCCATTTGCAAAAGGCTCCGTCTACCTACGTTTGCTTAAGGGTGGCTTTGTGACACGGACCTCGTCGCCCTTGTCGTAAGGACGAGGGAGTTAAAGGGTGTTCGCGGGGGCCCGTGTGACAGCAAAGGGGTAGGACCTTATGTAGTACACTTACATAAACAACCAGACACATGCAGACATTTCAGCATAAAACATATTGCTAAAGAGCTGCTCAGCCCCCATTTTACTAGCTACTCCACAGTGACATGCAATTCATACTTTGGAATCCTTTCCAAGAAGTTTACCACTTTATCAATGTGCTTGTAGAAGAAGAGACAGTGAAACAAGAGTGACCGCTTTGCTTGATTTCAGGAGATGATGCACACCGGGTGCCCATGGTCTGGTACCGCTCGCACTTCTGGTCAGCGCAAAAAGTCATCTGGTTCTCTCGCCATCATACTCGGGAAGTTGGTGGTGGGCCATGGCTGCCGTCGTCACTGCGGCAGGTTCTTGAAATGCCGTACCGTGGTTTTTCTCGCCGTGTTCTTTTTCGTCGTGGGTTTCAATTCCATCCTTGTCGCCACTGTTGCATAGCCGGGCGACGAGGATGGGATTGAGGAAGGAAAAATCCTTCCTACGTGACATAGGCATAGGTCATGGAGGAAGGAAAAATCCTTCCTACATGACATAGGTGCTTCTTGACGCAAAACTGGTAGGTGTTCTGTGCCTTGCGTTAGTCGTGTTGTTGCTTCGATGGCGTTGGCGCCATGTGCTGCAATGTCATGCGTCGCGGTTCTGCGAAACCCGATGCACTGGCTGACAAGTTTTTGAACGTTGACAGCAACTTCTACGTAGAATGCAAATCTGGCCCTTCACGTTGCGGCCGCGCGGAGAGTGACAGCGCGGCAATATGGTCCAGGATGGCAACAGCATGCCTACCAGCTACGATCAGCTGAAACTCCAACTCTGGTGGATCCCACCGGATGGCAGAGAAGGTCTCAACGAGTTTCTGGATGCCTATCGGACATTCTCCAGCGAGCAGACTCCGCTGGTGGATGCCGATGCAACATTTTCCTTCAGCGAGTTGTACCGTAAAGCAGTCAAGTACCTCCACGAGGAGGCGATTTATCACATAGACTGCACTACAGAGTTGACCGGTGTTGTCTGGTTTGGCCCGGCGACAAAATATCTTCAGCTTGGTCATGCGTGGTGCAGTGCCAGTCGCGACAAGGCCCGTGGAAAGGCTCTTTTTCAGTGGTTGGTTCCCAATCCCCTGGAGGCTTTTTAGCACACGTATGACCTGGACGTGAGCTTGTCGTCGTTTCGTTTGGCACACTGGCACAGTTGGGCGTGTTTCTGCAGCACAAGCGGTTCTCCTCATCCATCGACGACGACCACTGGAACTCAACACGACGTTTCATCACGACGACCGCGTGCTGCATGTCGATCTGCACCTCAACCACCGCGAAGGCTGCGCAGGGCAGATCGCCGAGTACCGGTTCATCCTCCCATACCTAAACATCACAAAGGGCACGCTGCGTTTTCACGAGGTAGTGTCGTCTGCTCGATGAGGAATAGTCGAAAGCCCCCTGCTGTTTTCAGTGTTCCCGGCCTGCAACGTGAACGACAACCATTGGGCTATGCCCGCGTGGGTTGAGATCCCATCCTCGTCGCCACTGTTGCATAGCCGGCGCACACACAGCGCGTGAACGACAGGCGAGACCAGCGCTGGGGACTGAAAATGTTTATTCATCGTGAACACAGTACTTAAAGCATAGGAAGGGAGAGGGAGTTGGGAAGGAAGGTTGGCGTGCAGTTGTGGCACGACGCTGAGAGGTGTTCTATCTCTCGGTCTAGTCCCGGCCACCAGAATGCCGATCTGGCGACAGCCTTCATTGCCGATGACCCTTGATGCGTCTCATGCAGCATATATAGCACCCGTTCTCTTGCTATTGCGGAAACAACAACTCGATGACCCCAGTATAACAACCCATGAGCTTCGGATAGCTCTAACCGGCGGTCCGAGAATGGCACAAACTCTCTGTCCTTTACATGTTTCGGCCAGCCTTGCTTGGTGTACTCCACGACCCTCGCTAGTAAGAGGCCCCGCGCAGTTGGAGCTTGGAGTTCTTTGACAGACATAGTACTATCATCGAAACTCCTAGAGCGGAAACATACTCTGAGGGTTCGCTTTTTGACGGTGGAACTAGAGTCTGCAGCGGTAGCCGGCTGACGGTGTCGGCGTTTAGTAGCAGCTTACCGGGGGAATACTGAAGCTTGTAGCGAAATCCACCAAGGTAGAGAGCCCAGCGCTGTATTCGTGCTGCGGCCAACGCTGGCGTCGGCTTCTCCGTTTTCAGCAGGCCCAGTAGCGGCTGGTGATCTGTGACCAAGGTAAAATCTCTGTTGAGGAGATAGTCGCGAAATTTCGACACCCCAAAAACAAGGGCCAAGGCCTCACGTTCTAGCTGGGAGTAATTCCGCCCAGCAGTGGTCAGCGTACTAGTGAAGAATTCGCCACTTTTGTGAAGAACAATAACATCACACCTCTGTACGGCTGCGTATCACCCCCAGTCTAACGGGCTCGCTGAACGAGCTGTTCGGACGATCAAGGAAGGTTTAAAGAAGATAAGCGAAGGCACATTAGAAGAGAAATTGGTGAAAATTCTTTTCAACTACAGGGTCACGCTGCTTCCCTGTTGTTCCGCAACCAACACATCATCGAGATAAGCTTGCACGCCTGGTAGGCCCTGCAGGACTGTTTCGATTTTTCGCTGGAAGATGGCTGGGACAGACGCTATGCCAAAAGGCAGCCTCTTGAAGCAAAATAGCTCTCGATGTGTGTTAATTACGCATAGCTTCTGCGATTCTTCGTCAAGCGGTACTTGATTATACGCGTCACGTAAGTCGAGAGTGCTTAATTACTCTCCGCCGTCTAGGCATGCAAACATATCGTCAATCACCGGCAATGGGTACTGCTCCAGTTCGCATACAGGATTTAACGGGATCTTGAAATCGACGCAAATTCGAACTGTTTCATCTTTTTTTAAGACGGGCACAATGGGCGTAGCCCACTCCGCATGCGCTACCGGTGATAACACCCCAATTGACCATTTTGCAGAAAAGCTTCTGCGCATGCACGGTAACGGCGCAGCTGGCGCCCTCTATGGGCGCTTTGGTTTTGGTTGGAAAACACGAGCCGGGCTGGCCGTCACTCGTGCATCTCTGTGCCGTCACTGAACTAAGTCGCCTCGCTTTAGCAGCGTACAGAAATGCCAGCGCACTGTGTGGCCTACGGCTGCACGAATTATTTTACTCAGAAAGGAAGCACGCATTTCTACAGGTTCCCGTCCGCGAGGCTACGTGCCGAAAAGAGAGATGCTTGGGTAGCTGCTGTGACGAGACAGAATGCCGACGGTTCGCCGTGGGCGCCCAACAAACATTCTCGGATCTGCAGCGCGCATTTCATAACAGGTACGGTAATCTTAAGTGCTTATAACTTGGTTTGTGCAATCAGAAATCACGTTTACTGCAGGACGGCCGTCAAAGTTCAAGAACCATCCTGACTTCGTCCCCAGTGTGTTCACCTACGTGAGAAGTCGCGGCGATGCTGCTGTGCGTCGCCATAGCCGATGGTGGAAGCGACAGAAAGGTAAGCGCTACAATCTCAGTTTATATTTACTGGGACAAAAACTGCTAATGCAGAATAGAGGAGCAGATGTTCGTGAAGGCAACCACACATCTGTCTGAGCGCGTGAACGGTCAGTTCTGTCGTGCATTTACGAAGGTCGCTCTTGCTTTCCGGACTCACTCCAGCTTTTAAAGATGTACGGTCTAAAGCACAGTCAGTGGAAATGTGAATGTATAATAAATACTTGTTTCGAGCCCGGTACCACTCTAGTGAGCCGTTCGAGCACTCTAGGCTATCGTCTGGACGGCTGTACTGCATCGCTCCCGTCTGGTATTTTGTGACTGCTTTCATCATGGGCAAGGCCACACGAGAAACCAACCACTTTCGAGGCGATTCGCAGTGGATAGTGTAGTGTGATAGGCAGTGCTTGCGAGGTTTCTCGTGCCTGCGGCACCGTGAGAGCATTTGTATAGATTTATTGCCCACTCGATCATTTTTGCCACTGCTTCTCGCATTTACAGCGTGTTTTTAGGTTGTGAAGTCGTATTGTGAATGCCGCATGCAATGCCTTTGTCACCAGTAGGGTAGCCAGACATATTTCGGTGGTGGGATTCAACCATACTTTATGCTCGTGTGTGCGTTGGTATGTGTGCGTGTAATATATACACATGCAAAGCTGAAAATTTTCGGGGGTTTGAACCCCTCAAACAACTCTTCCGCTCAGCCATGTCCCTGATTGTCACTATTTCTTAGACACCCAATATGTGGCTGTTATGCACATCTCACCCTAGGTGCTTATTGTCAGCAAATGACCTGTGCATAACCACGATACCATTCTTTCAGGGGAGCTTGATACGACAGCCACTTCTGCTACTCCTAATGACACGCCAGAGTTGCAGGATCCTCCCAATGGTGAGATTGCTTGCACTTTGCAAACTTAAGTGCTGTTTTGAGTTTCTTCTCGTGGCATCATGTGATTGCTCAGATTTCAGCTGGCTTGATTCTGCAGACATATTCATATAGGGGATAGTGGTCAGCTGATGTGTTGCTTTCAGAGAATCTCAACATGGACACTAGTGCTGCACAGAATGGTGTACTAGATGAGAATTCGGTGGACCTGCAACAACTGGAAAATGGTAAGTTTGTGTGCACTTTGCAGAGTTGAATGTTTTTTCAGCATTTCCCCATACCACGATGTGAATCCTGCCGCTGCTTGTTGCATGTGGCCCATTTCTGCAGTAACACACTCATACAAAGCAATTAGATGTCATGCTGTTGCATTGCTTGCAGAGAATCGTGACGAAGGCTTGGATGCTACAAAGGATGATGTACCTGATCAGGACTCGATGGAGCTGCAGCAACCCGAAAATGGTGAGTTTGTATGCACTTTGCAGAGTGCAATGCTCCTTTCGGCTTTTTCCCGTACCATGACGCCAATGCTGCAACTCCTTTTTGCATTTGCAGATAGAAACTCCTCAGCTATAGGCTTATTGTAGAGCTTGTTTCTAGTCCGTATGTCCATATGTGTAACATTGACTTGCAGAGGGCGCTCTAAGGTGCTTGACGAGCGCTTTTTCTGTGCCACTTGCAGGTATAAAGGAGCACATCTGGTCAGATTGCCGCTGTCAAGCCTGTGCTTCTAAGAAGATTGAAGTCCTGGAGCAAGAAATAGGAAATTCGCAGAAGTTTATCCTCCAGTTGCAGAAACAAAATGCAAAGCTAGAGGTGCAGCTAGATGCAGCCATGTCAAGGTGTCTCACCCTGACTACTCTAGCCACTCCAAAGGACTGCATGTACTACACTGGATTGCCAAATGTTGAAGTGTTCAATATTTTGCTTGAATACTTTGCACCACGCGCTAGAGAAATGTTGTACTGGGGCTCAGATAAAAAACGGCATAATGACCCTCGTGGCAACAAAAAAAATGGCAATCTGGCCAAAGAATTTTTCATGGTGTTAGTTCGGCTCAGGACAGGTATGCAAGGGCAAGAACTGGCCAGGAATTTCCTGATGTCAGAAAGTCTAGTTAGCCGCACTTTTTCCACATGGATTAACTTTTTACAACGAGAGCTTCGGCACTTGACACCCTTACCTACTTTAGATGACATAAGATCCCACCTACCGAAGTGCTTCTCTGATTTTTCCGACACCCGTCTTGTTCTCGATGCCACAGAGGTGAGAATATTGAGGCCTTCGTCATTGAGCGCACAGCGCCAAACCTTCTCACCATACAAGCATTACAACACGTACAAGGCGCTTATTGGATGTACACCAGATGGATACATCACTTATGTGTCTCGCCTCTGGGGAGGCTCTAGCTCGGATAAAGCAGTCTTGGAAAGTAGTGGTCTTCTTGACAAGCTGGAGCCAGGAGATGCAATAATGGTTGATAAAGGTTTTACATTTCCTTACTTGCCAGCAGGTATAACAGTTTATCGGCCTCCGTTCCGAGAGCCTCACCAAAAGCAGATGCCTGCAAATAAAGTTGACGAAACCAGGCTTCTGCAAGGGTGCACGTTGAAAGAGCCATTGCAAGAGCTAAAAGCTTTCATATTTTGGATAGGCCCTTTCCTATCGCCATGATAGACATTGCTGAGCAGGTTTTTGAAGTTTGTTGCCTCTTGAGCAACTGCAGGCTGCCTTTGATTCGAGAGGTAGATTAGGATTTGCAAGAGCACGAGCATAGTTTTCAAAAGGAAGCCAAGTTTGAAATTGGCCTGAGCTGGCTAGAGTTAGGAAATGATTTGGTGGCTGCAGCCAAGGCAGTAACAGAAGTCAGCTGTTTTTGGAATGATGTGCCATTTTGAATGTTTTACCAAACTTGCTGTAACCAATAAATGTAACTATGAAACATTTTTCAATCAATCTTGTTATATCACAGTAGCTATATTCACCTTTGTGCTGAATAGACCCACGCTACTGAAGCCCCATATAGTTGGAATTTATCTCGCGCTTTCCACGACAGCTTTCAGAAGCCACGTCAAGCCCCATTTGCCTTACTCTAAGTCACAAATAACGAAACAGGTTGTTTGTCTGTGTTACACTGTCCCATCTTACATAAGTCACAATAAGCCTTTGTTACTTAGTTACTTTCAGACTATAAGAGCCATGCATTGGTTTCACAAGTATAGCTGAACAGTCTACACATAATTATGCCACAATTGCCATGAATTTCACAGAGTTTTGCAGTGCACTCCTTGAGAAGTTAACTGAAAAAAAAAAGCATGAGGCTGTTTCTCCCCAGAAGAGAGCGATTATTAATAAAGTGAGGCGTCTTACTTCAATTTTTTTATTTTGATGCTTAGGACATCTAGACGCGTGCAGACATAAAATCCAGCCTTGAATTTTTTGAAAGACACGTATGTTTCAGACGTGTAAAGCCGCCCAAGCCTTTTGACACGCCGTGTCAAGTTTCGGGTACAAGTGCATGCTTAGTGAAGTGCAAGAGTCCTGGCAGTACTTCCTGAGCCCAGAATTTTTCGCAGAACTCTATCCTTTCAACATGGAGATGTGGGGGGTCTCCTGGTGGGTTTCCCTCAGTCCATATGACAAAATCTCACCAGTTATGGCCCGTTACTGCCATCTGGCCTTGCACCTGATAGAAATAGGCGTGGTCCCGCTTCAGCTCTGCACCTTTTTCGGTGAGTCTGCAGCAGAAGTTTCTGTCACTGCAGGCGTCCTCACACGTTATCCCTTTTTTTGAAAAAGGGCATTTCACTTCTAGTAGGCCTTCTTTTCCATCTACAACAACAATTCTGTCTGGTGAAGCAGCTAAGAAGGGGTACTGGCAGTGGACGTGAAGTCCAGTTTCCCGGACTGCCACGCTCGAGTCTCTGGCCTGCAACAGTTTCACATAAGCAGCTACGGCATCTGCTTCGTGCTGTCTGCCATATACGATTACTTCGGAAGTGGCTCTGTTCCAAGGGTACAGTAGTGCCTTTAGCAAACTGTCCGGTTTTGTACACCGGCAGATCCTTTTAAACATAGATGCTGTTAGCCGTCCAACCCGTTCTGCATGCCACTTCTTGTTAGATGCTTGGCCGACTGTTTGGTGGCATATCAGATCCCTCTCTGTCTGGCTTAGTGGCTTCATTGTTTTCATGTACGATTGTACCTCAGTTGCTGCAGCCTTGTTCCAGAGGTCATCGCTGTCCTCTATGGGCTTCTTTATGTTGCATGGTGGCTTTGGCTTGGCTTTATCGTGGCACATGTACCGCAGAGCATGCAGATCGGGACAGGCGGTTGCCAGCTTATCCCTCAGTGACTGAATGGCATGTGGACTAGGAAGTGGGCCATCAGCACAGGGGTCATAATCGCGCTTCCGTTTCCCACGTGTAGGCTTGTTTATGAAATACTTTTGGAATCTGATTTCACCCAGAGGCTTTCTTGCCACTGGTTTCTTTGCTGCAAGTAAACAGAAAATAGGGTACTTCAGTTATGCTGCTAAAGAGAGCACACATGTGAGTGATAAGTACATTTGTGTTGAGAAAGGGAGCATACGCACGTGCACAAGCATGGCTGTTCAACACATGAAGAAGTGTGTTTGTTCGTGTACTGTGCTTTGTGGTGTGTAAATGATGTAACACTGTTTATTAATAAACTGGCATGACTGAGCAAGCAGTCATGAAAATGCAACGCTGCGAGCCTGTTTCTCTGTGTATATTTTGTGAATGACACATAATGGTATGTGAACGCAACGTCATGTTCACAATAGCGGTAATTTACTGGTTTGAACATCCACTGCTTACACGAATCCTGGAGTGCAAGTTGCGTCTCCAACCATTTATTATGCTTGGATTCCCGGCTGTTAAAAGGTTTCTGAAAGCGGTCTCCATCGTAGTATGAAATACACGGGACGGGTAGTACCAGGACAAGCGCTGTCCTGCGTTTACACTGCGCTATGTATTCTCTGCAACCATGATTAACTAACATGCTAAAACCTACTACCCTTCGAACTCGTATTTGACCTGCACTGTGTCATGCATTATGCTTTGTGCTCGGCACTGTATGGCTGAGCTGCTTTTGTGCCATTAAAATATATCGCGATCATAATATGCTTGCACAGGGTACTTTGTAGGTATATACTTAGCTGAAACACGAAGTTCTTAGTGGCAAGATGGGCAACACAGGATCGTTAAGGACATGCATTGGTGGAGTAATACCATCAGCAGGGACTATCCACTTGCAGGGTACGTCCGTGCAGGACGGTGCATGTTCAGCTCTGGCGGCAGCACTAAACAGCAGGCCTGCTACATGTTGGCAGGTTTCACTAAGTCTGAAAGAAAAAAAAAACTGTTGTTCACAAAATCAACGGACAACCTCGAACATGTATTTACAGACGCTAAGCCCGCGTCTTGCAACATCGAGCTTTTTAGGTAGCACCGCAATGAAGTAAAGTACTCGATAGACGTGATCTTGTGAATGCAACAAAGTGTACCACGGCAGCACACAGTCTCGCGTATATCCGTACATTGTAACGGTTCGCAAAAAAAGCTGCCATTAGTGCGCGAGGCTGCGCTTTGATGTATAAGCGCAAACCATGATTGATATAGTAGCACGGGTCGTTTATAATCACAAAAGCGGGAGCTGCAGCAGGTATAAGCACTGGGGTAAGCTCCTGTCCTATGAAGAGAACGTAATGTTCCGATAAGGGAACTGCATGCTCCCATTACACTCGCAAGCGCATAGGCGCAACATTTGTTTACACACATTTTCGGCAATCGGTGATTTGCACTACAGACGCTAGTAAAATCAAAATATCTCACCCAGCAACACAGTCGCAGTGCGCTCCAACGATGCGACCGGTAGCCATGACGAACCATGCCGTTGTTACATACACGCCGGACTTCATGGACGGTGCGCACGCCGCTCTCACCAGACCTAGTTCGTCATCAGATGTTTGGAGGTTCAACTTCAAGTGTTTGACGTATCCTTCTTCTTTGAAGGACCAGCCGCGATGAGCCTGGCGAACAGTCGAAGTAGCGGAGTGTAGGTACCGCCACACGTCGTCATTGCTCAGGCTGCAACGCGAAAAATCCTCGCTCCATCCCGTTTCCACAAACGCAAACGGGATGTCTTCTTCTTCTATCATGTTTCTGTAAGCAGCGCACGTTTCCGGCAAAGAAACAACACTAAATCAATAAAACAAGCGCACGCGAGCCGCCG